CTTCGAGTTGTGTCGCAATTGGCGGCTTGATTTTTCAATTTATCAAAAATTTCAAAAATACCCTAAAAAGTTACTTTGAACATTTTTTCAGCTGGCCCTTCAATTGTTTAATAAGGAGTTAGTACTAGATAGAAAATAGCTTACCTTTGCTTCTAAAATACTCATCATAATTTCCACCCTTTGTATCCTTCCTGACAAGTCTGATAATTTCTAATCAAGATTAATAGTATTCTGATCAATAGAAGGCCATTAGTACTTTGATATTCAGCAAAATCAATAACCAAATAGTCCTGTAATTATCAAATAAAGAACATATATATGTATGATTTGAATGTATATTTATTTATATCATGCCAAAAACCATTGTTTTTAAAGTGTACATGAAACAATTCTTTTGTTTAATCATTTGAATCAATTAAAAAACTGAAGGATTTGAACCTGCACTCGGACCATAACAGAAGTTTTCAACCAATAAAATTTGTTTTTATTCAACACTATAATATTAAAAGGATTATACTTTCTATTTCTAGTAGTGTAATGGTTAATATTGATAATATTTATGGTTCACATACACTGTACCCTCAAGTTCCAATATCCAACAAACAAGCATTTTATACATTGACACGTCATTCACCTCCAAAATACAGATTATAACAAAGTTTTTGCAATTTTAAAAAGTAATAATACAGTGTAAATATGACAATATTTACCTCCTCACATACACACGAGAATCTGTTAAGAAACCTGACAGTATGTGTGATAAAGTGATTCAAGAATGCCAGAGTTCTCTTGTGATTGAGAGGACCAACCTATTGTACAATATGAGACATACATGTAAATCACTGAAGYAATATGCACTGTAATGTTTGTGTTCGGAATGTGATACAACCTGTACTTAATCGTTTGAGAGTGAAATCTCAAAGTGACACAATAGACTTACTTAAATCATTCGACTGTRGGTAGACATAGTTCGCTTTAATTGAACACAAAATCAAAAATCGCAGATATGTACCTTAGTATAGTCGACGTTGGGCACAATTCGGAAACCATCACTATCCATGACTTGAACATATATAAGGAATATTSACAGTAACTGTTCACGGAAATTGTAAGAAAGTGCAAGGCGTTCCAAGGTATGCAACCCCAACTGCACCATGGGAAGAATAATAATCTCGGAAAATTAGGAACGGAAGTACAGGGGATACGGGGATACGGGGATGCTGGACGAGTAAATGATTAAAGTAACAAAATTGTGGTACTTGGATTCATCTCTTAATTATATAGCCACATATTAATACCAAATAGGTAAAAGCTGGATTTTTCGTTAATTTTGGAATCCTGTCCAATTAAGAAATTAATTGGACAGGTTTTCAATTGGGTTTTTGTTAAAAGCTGTGRTTGGCTTTTACCTATTTGGGATCAATATGTGGCTATATAATTAATAGGTAATAAGACTCCATGCTGTCCAATTAAGAAATAATTAGACTCGAAAA